GCCCAGCAATAATTGAGAGCTCCGGTTCTGGATTACGAAGGAAACTGATATGTATATGGTATTAAGACCGCCTCCGAGATAAATTGGCTTTTTAAAGGGATGTTTATGGCCATAGCGTAAATACCTCAGTTAGTCATGGCATAGACGAGTAACTAAGGCGAGTGGCTGAGCGAGGTGACGTGGCTACCGGGAGATATAAAAATCATATTCTCTGCTCAACCCCATCGTCGTCGGATTCTAAGGCCAGTCGCTTTTTGATTTATTCTACCTTTCAAACCCGATGTTAAGGGGATAGTGAAACTTGGTTGAGTTTACCGGGTAGACATTGGCTGGCTCGTAAGGTGTTAAGCCACATCCGGTTAGACTGGGTTGGGAAACGTTGCACTGCCCCGTCGAGCAACATCGTCAATGTTCCTGGGCTTATATTTGTTACGCTTTGTACGTTGCCAGCAGCCGATAGGGGCTTTCTCTCCATAGGCCTAACTCAAGTCTAGGTTGGATGGATGGCTATTCCGCCCACCGATGTAGCGGCGCGGCGCGTCAACTGGAAGCAGATACGCATCTGCGGAAGCCGGTCTAAGAGTGGCTGCTCAACATGCAAGTTCGTTAATTGCTTTTTCTCACACCCCTGCACCACATCACACAAGGCGTAGCGTCAATCGTTTGCTAAATCCCCCTCCAGAACGCGAAGAGTGAAATGCGACGAAACGAAGCCCGAATGCAGGCGATGCACTTCGACAGGCCGCAGATGCGACGGCTACAAGCAGCAAAGCCAGGTTGGCGTTCGCGGCTGGCGGCAGTCCCCCAAGCCGCTGGCGCCGCCGCTAAGTGCAAACCCGAACCCGGCGTATCGTGACCCCGCGGGAAGCCGCGCGTGGGAGTACTTTTACCACTGTTGTTTTGAGCAAGTCTTTGGCGGCTCGCAGTTTGAGTGGGTTAAAGTACTCATTGTGCAACTCGGCCAGCAAGAAGCTGCTGTCAATGCCGCAGTGGTGGCCTTCAGCGCCACCCACGAGGCGACGCTCCTCCCGGCTCTCGGCGGAACAGCCGAACAGAACTCATTGTCTGCTTATGGGTCTTACCCCAGTTCCGGGCCAACCGCGACCGCGGCGTATTGCGCAGCCGCAAGATTGCTGGGGCTGGCGATAGATAGGCGCGGAAGGGTCGCCGTTCCTGTCGCTCTGGTGTGCTGTGTCCTCTTCACCGCCTTGGAGATGGTCCGGTGCGACTACGACGTCGCGGTGCGGCACATCGAGCATGGGCTGGAGATCGTCGCCAAGGAGCAAGGTATTGAGCAGAGTGGCGGGACCCTCTGCTTGCCGGGCTGGTCGGCGACCGCCGCGGACGGCGTCATGGCGGCGCTTGTCTCCAGCTTCTACCGCCTCGCGATTACCGTCTACTTCTACGGACGGCCGGAGACGTTGCTGCAGGAGCGAATTCTGACTGCGCCGCCGCGGAAAAACTTGGGCGGGGCCGTCTCTTTCGACGGCATTGACGAAGCGCGACGGTCTCTTTTGACTCTCGCTGGGGATACGTTGAAGTTTGTGGCTGACGTTAGTAAGTATAAGCACTTCGGTACCGCGACGGCGGTGTGTTTTCGCCGCCGAGACAGGAGGCTGGAGCGCTTGGCTTCGTGGCACGCTTCTTTTCTGGCTACTACCATACCTCCGAGTGACGCGGCGAACCACACAAGGTATCGGCTGATGCGCATAGTCCTGGAAAGCCAACTCCTTGCTCTGGTTATCCTGCTCCGCACGTGCCTTGACCCCGACGAGTCTGCCTACGACGCCTACTTCGACGAGTTCCGGTCTATACTTCTTCTCTGCCAGGAATACATATCGCTGTCTGCCACGTTAACGACCGGGGAGCCGGGACGCAGACCTGTCGACTTCACGTTCGACATGGAAATTATGCCGCAGCTGTGGCTCGTCGGGAAGAAATGCCGCCACCGTCAATATCGGAGGTGGAATATTGCCTTGCTTAAACAATACCCCCGCAAAGAGGGTATGTGGGATCCCAGGCTAATTTGCGGTCTCGCGATCCGCGTTATGGAGATTGAGGAGGCATCGTTGCCTCTGGGGGATGACTCGCTGCCAGGCGATTGTGATCGCCTGTGGGTCGTCGACCTGGACTCGCGGGATGGGCACTCTAGCGTAGTTACGTTTGCCTACAAGCCGGTTGCGCTTGGAGGGCACGGTCTGTCTTGGAAAGAAACGATCCTTATCGAGCCGAGGCAATAGCTGTCCAATGCTATAATGATACCTGAGCGCATAATTACTCTGCATCGCGGTTTAGAAAAGGCGGATGTCAGCCGCCAAAGCTCATGAGCAACTCGTCACTTAAAATTTAAGGGCTTTTGTTTCTGGCTCTGGATTGGATGATGGTATGAACAGAATTCATGTAGAAGCTGGAGAGAAGTCCTTCAATTCCGACGACCGCATGTTTAAGCGAACTGAAGTACCACTGAGATCTAGTAGGTCGAGTCTACTCTCAAAATTTAATTTTGGGATCTTTGCTAACAGCGTTCTTGGAGTGATACACACCCGGCAAAAATAATGAACCTCTGCTATTAGGGCGAATTATGCAATCCGTACATACCGTCATTACTTCATTGTTTTACGTTCAAGATATTGGCATCGTACATTGTAGATGAGTTAAGTTGATTGCCGTACGGACCTTATCCAACGACCGTCTGGTTTATCACTCGTCTCGTTCCCCGAGCGAGCATGCTGGATCTCGATAGAAATACGGGCATCACACGTGCATACTACGCGACGATAGAAATTGGAATCTATATGCCCAGGTCGAATGGATTGGGGGTTGCGAATACCAGCCATCTCAACAACGCAGCATGGCGCGAATTACCGCCTTATATACCGTAGCCGGGTAATTAGATTGGATCATCCTCTAATCCGGGACGCTGACTCACATGGAGGATTTTATAACTTAAATATTGCCCTCTACAGAAGATGTGCCATCGGGTTCTGGGTCGTACCCGAATGAGATCGATACCGAAGATAGGGTTATTGAGAATTGAGTTATACGGCGACAACTATAGACATATCCTATAAATTAACAATACGGCTGATCTAGATCATCTATTGTACGCACATTTCGCCGTGAGAAGTGATTACTGGAAAATCGATAGCAGGAGGAAGACTATGCGAGGCTTGAGTGAAGATTGGTTGCCAGCTCTAATGCTGCCTGGTCACCCTTCCCCGTCCTTGTATTATTGCCATCTTTTAAACCTTTTCCTTTTCTATTATGTACATGCATCATTATAGACTGATTGGAGTTGGACTCTGATTTGTTTGAATGGAGATCTAGTGTTCTACACGTTACGATACCGCAACAGACTGACGAATCTCATCGTTCACTTATGTTTTAACTTGTCTACTTCGATTTCTTCTACTGAAAATTAGTCTTTCTCGCAACCACTCGGAATGTCTATTTCTAGGGCATCAATGCGGAGAATCCTACCTGCTGAGCCCTCCAACTTGCGAATCGTTTCTGTACCGTGAATACCAGCGTCCCGAGGATGGTCGCAGCAATGCCGAAGACCAGCAGCAGCGACTTGCCGCGCGGGTGGATCCATCCGACGTTCCCATCCAGGGCGCTGACACCAAACAGCGAGAAATCCCAGGTTCCATGGAACAACACGGGGACCGCTAGGATCTGCGTCAGGCTCAGGACCTCCCCACGGAAGTCCCGGCGCGCGGCATCCATCCCGATAAGCAGGCCGCTCATGACATGCATGGGCGAGCCGATAAGCACGCGCTCAGCAAGCGCCAGAACGAGGTCAGCAACCCCCTTATCCTCCTTCGCCGCGGCGTACACGAAGCCGATGTTCTCGAAAGTACTGAAGCCCAGGGCCGCGGCGGCCCCAAACGTGACGTAGTTACGCTCGTGCACAATGCGCCCGCGGCGCTTCGCGTACATAACGCCCGAATACTTCAAGACTTCCTCCGGGATCGCAGCCGCGAAGAACGCGAACGCGAGCATGAACACCCAGTACCGCCCGTCCTCCGCGATCTGGCGGCGCGCGGCGAGCGCGTCGGCGTCCAGGGTCGCGACATCGGATTCGCTGCGCGCGACTTCTTTTAGGACGGCGAAGGCCGTGGTGGGGAAGAGCGCGAAGCAGAATGCTGTTGAGACGACTAGTTGGACGATGATGACGGCGGCGACGCCGACGGTGCCGGTTAACACGAATGTCCAGGTGAAGGTCTCGAGGTCCACCCGCTGGTCTGCCGGGTGCGCGCGGTCGTACTGGAGGAGGAGAAATGTGGGGGCTAGAATGAAGATTGAAAGGGCGGCTGTGAGGGGTGATGTGATGACGAGGGCGATGAAGAGGGCGGGAAGGACGGCCCAGAGGAGGATCCTCGTGGACCGGGAGAATTGGGGCTGGTTTATGTTCCCGGCGGTTACTTGGTTTTGATTATCCATCTCAAGCCGCGCTATGTTAAGCTACAGGCCTTATAATCACTGCTATGATCAATTAAGATCTCCGTTGGACCAGATGCAGGTTCGTGAGATGGGAGTGGACATTGAACTCTGCGGAAAGGTGCTGGTATTTATTCTAAGACTGACTCAAACAACGACATGTCGTCGTTTGCAAAATCCGACATCTTTTCGATCTAGATGGAGCCAAATTCCAACATTGGAGATGGATGTTGCAAATGCCAAGAAAGCGATACGGTGAATACGGATAGTGAAACTGACCTACTATTGCAAGACCATGGGTTAATAGAGCGCATAGAGATGGCTCGCTTATGCGTCCAACCCCTTCTACATAGGTATAAAGTACTTCAAAATGCAGCTGATAATCAAATGGCTTTGCTGTAGATAGACGTTGCTTGATGAGTCGCGTGCTTAACCGCCTAAAAAGATTTCGTCGATCACGAAAAATTGACCGGATAGGGGCTTACATCAACTTAATGCCTGGTATCCGCAGATTCGGGCAAAAAAGATTGCAAAAAGTTGAATTAAGCATTCGTTAGAAGCGACGCCTGCAGGATTCGAACCTACGCTCCCGAAGGAAATGCCTCCCTGTATTATACAGTCGTACAATAGCAGGGCACCGCGTTAACCACTCCGCCAAAGCGCCTGGTTAACTGGGGACTTGCGGAAGTTCCCAGATGTGATTGAACAAGGATTTAGTTATAGTAGTCTATATACAGTAGTGCTATGTAGATAGTTTTACCGCCCTAGTGGATACTAGGGGCGCGTCCGTATCGGATGGCCCGTGCGGAAGAAAGCTAGTAGCTTTCAGAACCTCTTACGTCAGTGTAAAATTTCTAAACGACAATCGATCTATTCATTTCCAGGCAAGAATATTTCCCACGGAGTGATGCAGTTTAAGGTCTACAAGTGATTTACTTTCGAGTTGCTCGCCAGGAAAGAGATTACAGGAGCAACTTTTAGGATTCAAATAACCGACGATACTCGGAAGATCGAAGATGCCTCAAAATATGATGAGATATGATATCTCGACTTGTCGTGAGGCTATTTCGGTCAATATGGCGCATGCCGACATCTTGATTTCATAATTCATCAACTTACCGCCTATTACGCCTCCTCTAACAATTTCCTTACAGATTCTAAGAGTGGATGCGCATCGGCCATAGTGGGTTTGCCTCCCCAAGTACCGAGGCTGTAGTGGAGCAGTCTGGAGAGTCTCAGGATAAGTAATCATTTACTAAATATATCGAGACCGCCGACCGGTGTGTTCAATATTGGGATTGATTGCTTCCGAGGCTATCACTTATCAAACGGACTGGCCGAATTCCTTTCCCCTGCCTCGGTAATTCTACCAGGACGGGATGCGGGATGAGTAAGTCGTCAATCCCGGGTTCGCCATATCGAGAGTTTATCTTATGAGTCTATTATACTCGCGCATTTCACATATACCACGCGTCAATCAAGCTAAGCAATGAGATAGACGAACCTATCATTATGACAACAGTCTAGATAACAACTAGTACGCTTCAACAACATAATGACGCCGAACGGCGGCACTAACTCTAGATTGTGGAACCTTGCCGCCTGAAGTCCACTACTTCTTACTATTCTATGAGATATTTCCGAATTTGGCCAGGTAACGAAGCCTTACTTGCTCGACCAAGTGCGGGCCATTCCGCATCCGCCGCTTAACGTCATCAACAGGTATCTGCGATTTGTAAGGCCGGGACCCTCGGTGGGCCGGTGGCCACATAGTAGAGCGTAGAAAAACTCTTATCATGGAGTTCGAGTATATAAGTCGGCTCAAGTAGTGCTTCCTGGATCTCCAAGAACATATTGGTTCCATACTTACAGAGTCATCGACCATACAACTTCGTTTCCATCTCTAGTCTATTCGCAAAGGAAAATATGTCCATCACATTCACGGTTTTCAAGGGTGATAAGTCTGGGGCGCCAAAGCGAGCGACCACGACGAAGCCTGAGCAATTATCGGGGGATAGCGTCCTAGTTAGAGTGACAGCATCTGGGCTATGCGGGACCGGTGAGCATCAAACGGAGATCCTATAATCTAAAGACTAACATTACTGACCACGACCCCCAGATCTCCACTACGTAAACATCCTTTTTATTTCTATATATATGAGTAGAATTTATGCTAACTTAGTTGCCAGAAATCGGAGGACATGGTCCTTGGGCATGAAGGAGTCGGTGTTGTTGAAGCGACTGGACCGGGATGCAAACTCCTAAAGAAAGGAGACCGGGTTGGGTGGGGATACGAACACGATTCCTGCGGCCATTGCCAACAATGCCTAAGTGGCGCCGAAACATATTGTCCTCAGCGAGTATGTGTGTTCACGAGTTGATCATTCCCTTTTCCGGTGTCATCTGAGCTCAGTCGCTCCCGAGACATGCGCTGAACAACCCAATACCCTTCCTAAAGGAGTGATTACTGACTCTTGTTGTTATAGGCCATGTACGGGTACGCTGACCGAGACCAAGGTAGCTTCGCATCTCATGCTGTCTGGAGAGAAGCTTTCTTGTTCAAAATCCCGGACGAACTATCGGATGAGGAGGCTGCTCCTCTACAGTGCGGTGGCGCGACGGTGTTTAACGCCCTTCACGCCTACAATGCTCTGCAAACAGAGACTATTGGCGTGATGGGAGTCGGCGGTCTTGGACATCTAGCCATTCAATTTGCCGCGAAGATGGGTTGCCGGGTCGTCGTTCTATCCGGTACAGAGTCGAAGAAGGAGGAGGCAATGCGGCTAGGAGCCCACGAATTCATCGCCACGAAAGGCAAAAAGGAGTTGAAGGTATCGCAACCCCTGAACCGCTTGTTGGTAACTACTTCCGCCCAGCCGGATTGGAGCCAGATCCTTCCCATCATGGCTCCTGGTGCCACGATTCATCCGCTTTCCGTCGCGGGCGGTAGCTTCGAGATTCCTTATATGCCCCTAATACTGGGCGCCATTACCGTTCAGGGGTCCGTGGTTGCCCCGAGGTATATCCACCAACGGATGTTGGAGTTTGCAGCTCTACATCATATTAAGCCCGTGGTTCAAACGTTCCCGATGACGGAAGAAGGTATCAAAGAGGCGATGGATAAGTTGGAGCAGGGGAAAGTCCACTTCCGCGCGGTCTTGAAACCGCAACAAACTGCCTCCCTGTAATGTATATTCAGGGTTAGGCATTTGGTTTGAGGCTGGAGTCGTGAGGTACCGAATGAAGCATTAGTAGGAGTGAGTGAGGTGTTGTGGGCGGGGAGCGGATTCATGAAGAGCGACTACAAGGATTGATCACTGATCAGTAAAGCAATAGGCTTTCTTCGAATATTCTCATGTCTTTGTACTGTAACTACCTAGTCATCCTTTGGCTCGTCTGTCCCGTAATGTTAGTATTGCCCCTAGCGGCTATGCAATTAGAGCAGATATATGGATATGGTAGACAGCCATCTTACAACCAAGTGATGTGGAATTTGCCCCTGGTCGCATCTGCTAGTACCATCTTATCATGCGGTCCTTTGATTTACTCTCTATGGCTCATCAATCGCTTATATACATGTATATATCATCATTGTTCTCTCTAAGGTCCTTAACCCCCTAGTATACCTATATAGGTTCTGTCGCGTGTTTACCACAGCGCTTTCGGCTTATCAGTGACTCCGCCGATTCTTGGCGTCCGTGTGGGGCCGTACTTGGACCGATATTCCAGCCAGCGATTTCCGTCCGACTTTGGCTCCGGAGATACGTAGTATGTTCATATTAATCCGATCGGATATTATATTTCTCCGGTCCGCGATGCCACATGAGATTCCTGATGTCTTATGAATAGGGGCTGCGAGATATTGCGAATTAAATCAAGCAGATGCTGGCAGAAAGGCCTCGGTGAATAACCAAACAAGGAATGTCTGGGGGAACAAGGAGGTAAGTGGAAAGAATGATGCTACCTATTGGTTTAGACGACGTCTAATCGATCGCGCCGTTGTTCTTGGACAGTTACGAGGGCGTTTGGTTGTTCGTTCAGCTGGCCGCACCCGGCCGAGCGACTCACATCCGGGAATAGCTTCAGATATATCCGTTACCAAATCAAATCTTACAATTACACAACTTCTACTACAATAAAGAATCATTCTTTTTGACCTTTAACTATTATCATAATCTAAAATAGTTCTTACACCTTCGTGATCCCATTCTTCTAGCCGCAGCACACTACTTGGCAGGACAAACTCGTCACAAAGACATACGGTATAAATCCAGTATTACACCAACAGTTTTAAGGGGTTCTGTACTATCTTTAGTACCGTTATAACTTAACGACTATTACAATATGGAATATTAGACCATGCCGAAACGGCAGGCGGTGTCTGAACAATAAACGTCTTCGAGACGATGAGCAGATGGGGCCAGACGTAGTCAGATAGTTCCAAAAGTAGTCTGCAAAGAGCATCACTCAATAAAAGCATCAGAAGACACTTGTGAGCTTGACTTGGTGGCTGCTTCGAATCTACATTTTCACCAGCATTTGTACCAGAGATCCTCCCCCCAAGCGTTCTAAGAAAAGACAAGCATCAGGGGCCACCCGTGTCTGCCACGGCACCGGTTATCTAGCGACATGTTGCCAAAACTTAGGCTTCTGTAATCTTAAACCCCGAATAGTCCTCCGTAATGGGCTTTTGGGAGCATAATGACCTGGGCGACCTAATCTACTAACGAAGATGGGTTGACATTCCTAGGTTGTAATACATACTAGATACATACGTAAATACTTCAATAATACGAATAGCTCGTCCGCGAACGAACACATTAGATACAAAGCTGAATCTGGCGGTGGCTGGAGCCGGACAAACGACAGGGGTGTAATTTCTTTCGCCTGCCTGGTCACAAATTACTGATTAGTAGTGGACGTACCGTTGACAAGGCGTCTTATTACATGTATCAATGGTTTTAGATACATGTAGTGACATACATAGTACTATGTACCGAGTGAAGCTACGACGGGTATTCCGCACTTACCTGTCACTGACTGAAGCTTTGTCGGGTATTATGTACTTACTTGTCGTAGGGCAACACTTCTACGGGCACTATTGATGCAATTCTCACTAAGAGGATTCCGACGGGTGTTATGCACCTACCTGTCTTTAAATAAGGCTTCGGCGGGTACTATTGATAACCGAGTGAAGATTTGACGAGTGCTATGCACCTATTCATCATTGAGTACGGCTTCGACGGGTACCATGTACTCTACTAGGTGCATGTGTATCATTGGATGGAGCTTCCATGTCGACGGACATTATGCACCTACCTGCCACACAGGGTCCTATGCACTTGCCTGTCACTGAGTGACTAATAAATACACAGTGAGAATGGTTATGGGGAGTAAAAGACCGCTAGGGCTTGATTTTGTCTAAACTACTGGGGTCTCTATTCACGGAAACTCCCTGCTGAAATCTACCCAGGTGTCTGCAAGGGCAACGGCGGTAGTTGCCAGGACTAGGCCCTCTCATCTAGCGTCCTCTGACACACTGAATCTGGTCACAACAAGCCGAGAAGCTTTGTTTGAGGAAGTCACTGGGCAACGACACTCCCCTAACCGCAAATTATAATGGCTGCATAGCGGAGTCCCCGGGATTCGGCTTGTGGAATACAG